AAGTACTAACCACTCCTGACCCTGCTTAGCTTCCGAGATCTGAAGAGATCGGGCTAACCTGGCCCAGCCAGGTCAAGGCAAGAGACGAACAGAGGTGACTTGCCATGGCCCGCCTCTGCGTAGCAACCTCGGGACTACCTTGCCTGCCTCTGCGTAGCAACCCTGGATTCCTTTGGGGGGTCTCCCAGCCAGGTAGTAACCAGGGGTGACTCTGCTTAGCTTCTGAGATGGGATGAGATCCGGCTAGCCTGGGGCATCCAGGTCAGGGCAAAAGACGCACAGAGGTGGTTTGCCATTGACTGCCTCTGCACAGCAACCCTGGATTCCTTTGGGGGTCTCCCAGCCAGGGAGTAACCGGGGCTGACTCTGCTTAGCTTCTGAGATGGGGCCAGCCTGGGCCATCTAGGTCAGGGCAAGAGACGAACAGAGGTGGGTTTGCCCTTGCCTTCCTCTGCGTAGCAACCCTGGACTTCCTTGGTGGTCTCCCCTTCAAGTACTAACCACTCCTGACCCTGCTTAGCTTCCGAGATCTGAAGAGATCGGGCTCACCTCGCCCAGCCTTCGTCTTCCCCGCCTGTCCCACCATTTCTGTTCCTCGAGATGCCTACTGCAGGGAAATCCACGCGCTCCAGGTAATCAGCCACAGATTTTCCAAGCAGGAGTGGAAAATGAGGGAGGGAGGGAGAGGAAGCGAGCCTACCTGGCGCCCCAGGGGGACGTACTGTTGTGACCGAGGAACCAACAAGAGTTCTTCGGGGGCTCGAGCTGGGGAGACCAGAACCACCAAATGCAGCAGGGAGCAAAGGTGCGCGTCTCCCAGACTGGTCTCTTGACAAGGGCAGTGGCTTCCCAGTGGCGTTCTGAGACGGCCAATGAGAACACCCCTGACGGCAAACCACTCCCCCGAAAGATAAGATGGCTCCCCGGGCCGTGACCAGTCTCGTCTGTTTATTTGTCGTCATCTGGCCGTGCAACAGCGGTCACTGTGGGTGTGGAGGGGGAGGCATTTCTGAATTTCCTGCACTGTGCAGGGGGTGGGACTAGATGACCCTGGAGGCCCCTTCCAACCCTTACGATTCTGTGATTTATATCCCGCCTCTCTCCCCAGTGGGGACCCAAAGTAGGTTACATTGTTCTCTTCTCTTCTGTTTTTATCCTCACAACAACCCCGTGAGGTAGGTTGGGCTCAGAACGCATGACCTCAGAACGTATACTCCTGCAGAGTGCAGGGGGTTGGACTAGATGACCTGCAAGGTCTCTTCCAACTCTAACATTCTATGTTTCTATGTAGGGCTCTCTTTCGGCTGTGCTCCTGCAGAGTGCAGGGGGTTGGACTAGATGACCTGCAAGGTCCCTTCCAACTCTTTCTATGTTTCTATGTAGGGCTCTCTTTCGGCGGTGCTCCTGCAGAGTGCAGGGGGTTGGACTAGATGACCTGCAAGGTCCCTTCCAACTCTTTCTATGATTCTATGTAGGGCTGTCTTTCGGCGGTGCTCCTGCAGAGTGCAGGGGGTTGGACTAGATGACCTGCAAGGTCTCTTCCAACTCTAACATTCTATGTTTCTATGTAGGGCTCTCTTTCGGCGGTGCTCCTGCAGAGTTCAGGGGGTTGGACTAGATGACCTGCAAGGCCCCTTCCAACTCTCACATTCTATGATTCTATGACCTGCCCAAGGTCACCCAGCAAGCTTCCGTGGGGGAGAGGGGATTCGAACCTGGGTTTCCTGGATCTTAGTCTGACACTTCAAGCACTACACCATGCTGGCTCTCTTGATCTTGCCCTGTAATATATCTTGTAGATATGGGGACACGCTCAGACTGCATGAATCAAGGACCAAACAGATCTGACAAGGGTGGGGGTATTTCCGTGTTCAGAGCTCCCAATCATATAGCAACTGTCCAAGGACCGTGGACAGGGAAGGAGAAATCCCACCCCTCCCTGCACCACTGTTTTCTGAACCTGAAATGGCCACATAGATACATAGTGCCGATCGGAGCTGCACGAGGCCCTTTCAAGTTCAGAAAACGTACCCGGGGAGGAAGGCTTAATCCGGTCTCCCTGGTCCTGCCTTTATGCGGCACAGGCCCGTAGCCAGGATTTTGTGACTTGTGGGGCTGAAGTTCTCAGTGCAGAAAGAAAAACCATCTCGCCAACAGAAAGCTGTGACCAGGATAGATCTCTGAATTGCAAGCTGTGGGCCACTTCAGATGACAGTTCTCAGCTGCTGCAAGTTAATCACAACCATTCTGAGAACGAGCCGGCAGGTGGGGGTGAGGACTCCTATAGCCCAGAAAGCTAACGCTGAGGCACAAAACCTCAAAGGAGACCAGTTTCTTGACACAGAGTTAGAAGGGATCCTAGAGGTCACCTACTCCAACCCCCTTGCTCCGTGCGGGAATTAGTCAACTACAGTACCCCACTCTGCTTAAGGGAGCACATTCCTTAAAAAAATGTTTTTAAACGATTGAAAAAAGCATTTAGAGGAGAAATTCTCCAGGGGCGGCGCCTTTAAGAAAGGGGGCGGAGACCCCCAAAGCCCCACCCTAGCCACGGGCCTGAATGCGGCAGCTGCTCAAGCAGCAGAAATGCTGGGGACCTCCGGCGACGGAATGCGCGGTATCCCGGCTGCCCCTGAACTTTTATTTTTATTTATTTCACTTCATGTATATCCTGCCTTTCTCCCGAACGGGCATCCAAGGCGGCCTAAACCCCTCTCCTCCATTTTTATCCTCATAACCACCTTGTAAGGTAGCTCAGGCCACGAATGTGCGACCAGCTCGAGGCCACCCAGCCAGCTTCCGTGGCGGAGTGGGTATTCGAACCTGGGTCTCCCGGATCCTAGTCTTGACGCTCTAACCGCTAGAAAAAGCTGGCTCTCTGGAATCTTCTGAAGTGTGTGACGGTTCCTGGGCAAAAAAGCTGTACCGTATGAAAACCACTACAGTAGGGGGGGAAATCACATATTCCAAGGAGGGAGTTTTATTAATGCAAACAGGACAGGGTGGAGGGGGGCTAGTGGACCCTGCAGGGCCAGATTCTGTACAATATACATACAGGCTTTGGTATGGGGGACAGGGAGGGCGGACCCCCTCCGAGGCCCGCCCTTCCGCACTGCCCTTTCCTCAGTTCATCTTGATCAGGATCTGTTCGGCGAAGAGCTTCTTCAGCTGCGCCACTTCGGCCGAAAGCGACGCCAGCTGGTTCCGCAGGCTGCTGTTCTCCGTCTGGTACCCGGCGCTCTGGAGAGGCGGCAGGTGGCTGGCCGAGGGCTCCGCTTCGCAGCAGCCGCCGAACGCCGCGGCCCCCACGGCCGCGGGGCCCACGTTCCTCGGCTCCTCGCGCGCGGTGGGCCCCCTCCAGCTTCCCGCCGGCGGAGACGGCGGGTAGGGCCCCCTCCAGCTTCCCGCCGGTGGAGACGGCGGGTAGTGTCCCGGCGGCTCCCCGGCCATGTCCTCTGACCCGCCGGCCATTTTGAAGCGCAGCTTGTGGGGGAGGCCTTTGACGCTCTCCCCGGCCTCGTAGCGGCTCCCTCGGCCCAGATCCGCCGCGTCCTCCGAGGGATCCGGCACCAGGCAGTGCCCGTCGTACATACTCCCTTCCTCGGCCCGGTCGCGCTCCTCGAAGAAAACCGGGCTTCCCATGCTGGAACTGCCCGGTGTGGAGAACCCAGAGTCCTCCGAGCTGGCGGCAGGCTCCGGTCGGAAGGGGCAGGCGTACCGGGGGGTCTCGAGGGCCGCCGGGTAGTGCTGGGGTGTGGGTATCGGCTGGGGGGCTTCAGCGGCGACGGGAACCACCGGCCCGGAAGGCTCCGTTGGATCCCGAATCAGGCCGAAGCGAAATTTCAACGCCAGGAGCTCGGCCTTGAGGCGGGCGTTTTCCTCCAGAAGGGCCAGCACTTGCCCCTCCAGGGCCAGGTCGCTGCCCCGCCGCTTCTCCCGAGACCGTTTGGCTGCCTCGTTGTTCTTCTTCCTTTTGTCCCAGTAGCCGTCGTCCTTCTTCTCGTCTGGGGTGAACTCTCGCTTGCGCCGGGCCGTGGCCGAGGGGCCCCTCGGCTCTTTCGGCCTCGCCCCGGCGCCGGCCTGGGTCCTGAGCAGGGAATGGCTTAGCAGGCCGTTGGCCGAGAGCAGCGAGACGGTCTCCTCGGCGAAGCAAGAGACGGCGGTGCGCAGCTCACACAGCTGTGGGCCCGAGACGGGGGGCTGCAGCAGATCAGAGTGATGGGGGGGCCCGGGGTCCTCCACGGGCAGGTCCATCTCCTCGAACGGCTGCGTGAGGGAGAGAAAGGAGAATAGGTTAGCGCCGGGGGTCCCCAACACGGATCTTCGCTGTTGCCCACCAAATGTTTTTAGACAGCAGGTGGGGCCCAGCAAGACTTTTGACTGGCGGTGCAGTTTTTTTAAAAAAACATTGCTTTGGTAGCAGCTGGCATCACGGCACATGGGTCTTCACTGTGTGGAAAGGTAAGCTGTGGCAGCCATTTTGTGGCTGGCCCCGCCTCCAGAGGCAGCCATTTTGCAGCTGGCTTTGCCTCCAGAGGCAGTCATTTTGTGGCTGGCCCCACCTCCATCAGCAGTCATCTTGTGGCTGGCCCTGCCTCCAGCAGCAGCCATTTTGCAGCTGGCTTTGCCTCCAGAGGCAGTCATTTTGTGGCTGGCCCCACCTCCATCAGCAGTCATCTTGTGGCTTGCGGCTAGCTTCGCCTCCAGAGGCAGCCATTTTGTAGCTGGCCCCGCCTCCAGCAGCAGCCATTTTGTGGCTGCCTTTGCCTCCAGAGGCAGCCATTTTGTGGCTGGCCCCACCAGCAGCAGCCATTTTGCGGCTGGCTTTGCCTCCAGAGGCAGCCATTTTGTGGCTGGCCCCACCTCCAGCAGCAGCCATTTTGTGGCTGGCTTTGCCTCCTGCAGCAGCCATTTTGTG